ATTCCTGTCTGTTTACTGTTCAAACACATAAATCCATAATTATTTTTTCCAGAAAAATTACTATATTTCAATATACACATTGTATTAGATATATATGGAGATATTTTAATATAAAATTACAAAGGCGATAGAGGAATGTATACATATTGCCTAACCTTTGATTACAACCATGGTTTTTGTCCCTTATACTACAGTACATCTCCAATTTGAAACAATATTGAGTTCACATATCAAGTTTTTCAGATGAACTCTCTCACTGATTCACAAAAGAGGAACAAACATTTTACACTTTAATACAGCCTAAAAAATAATAATAATAATAATCCAGCCAGTTATATTGACCCTGTCTTAAATTTCCACCAGCTCAGTAACCAAGGAGAAGATATATTGTACAAGAAAAGCAGTATTTCCCCTGGCAGGTCAGGAATTAATAATATCCTGATGAGTATTCCTCTTCATTGTTGTCTTAAGCAACTCTTCAAAACCGTGGGTAGTCTGACTCAAACTACACAAACAAAACATTTTGGCAACACAGTTAAAGGGACTAGCCAACAACATAAAATAGTTTCACTTGTAAGTGTACCTCACATCTTACTCCTTGCAAAAGCTAAATGTGTGAAATAAAAACAACAAAAAAAAACACTTGTTTCACAGTGAATTAAAACCTTTGCTATGAATCTATGACAATTATCCCACACACCGTGACAGAGTGCACACATTTCTACCTTCTTGAGTATTACCAATTAGTAGCCAGTGTACTCTTGACCATGAGAATTATGTAAGTGTCACAGCAAGGACAGCTGAGTACTCCAGGAACACCTACGAAGAACACTTAACTGAATTGCCTTGTCTCTGCTCATGTAACTCAACTCTAATTTAATACTCTGGTCCAGTGCTATTCATATCTCTCCAGAAAATGTTTTACAAACTAATGGAACAAAACATCATTCCCTCAACAGCAAAAATAAAGTAAGTTAGCGGTAGTCTTTGAACAAGGGGAACAAACAGAGATTTAAAAACCACTAGCACTGAGAAAGAATTGCAGGTATTGAGCCATACAAAGACTTAAATGTTCTGAGTATTAAGCAAGTGAAGGAATGGCCCCAAGTCCACTCTGCCTATACCCTAATGATTAGGCAATCAAATGCAAGATTACTCATTACCCACTACTCACAATGAGAGGCTTTCATCTAAGGGCCTAATAAATATATGAAGTTGATCACTTCCCCTGTCAAAGACAGCCTGCAGGGTTCAGGCTGACATGGATGCAAGGAGGGGAGCTGAAAAGAGAAAAAATTAGTTGAGTGCCACTCAATCCTCTTCCTCGCTTTGACCCGATGGCTTCTCCTGATGCTGAGGTACACAAGTGCAGCTTGGCAGCTCAGTGGTAAAACGGAGAAACAAGGCTGAAGTGCCACAGGGCATGGGGGTGGGAGGGGTGAGGTTAACCACCCCAAATGACCCTCTCCCACATCTCCACACAAAGGAACTGGCTCCTCTTTTTTGGATTCTTTTAATTAACACTTGCATTGAGGCTCTAAGCATTGAGGCGCCGATACAGGGAAAGAATTTTCTCTCTCCCTTAACCCCCTCCCTCCTCTTGAACCTTTTCTTCCCTTCTCTACCCTTCTTTTTCTTCCTTTTTCTCCCTTCATTCTTTCTGTGTTTCATTTTTTCTTTTCTGGTGTAGGCAGTGTTTGGATTAGATGTCTGGCTGTGAGTGTGAGATAATTACTACTGACAGCTGCGCTGACAGCGACCACAACCACAGTACCTTGCTCCATCAAAGAGAATGTGGAGCAAGGGAAGATCAGTGAGAGGGGAAAAGATGAGAGAGTAAAGGGAAACAGATTGAGTGGAAGTGTGAGTGAAAATTACAGAAATCATGAAAAAAATGAAGAATTGATAGGAAGAATAGAGTCAAAAAAACAAAAAAGACACCAAGTACATCCAACCCTTAACACCTGTTGGTTTCCTTGCTCAGGCTCCCTTGAGCCTTGCTGAAGATATGCCACTCACAATTAGTATCTCGGGCCCTCTATGGTGTACGTCGTACAGTGTTTATTAGCGTACAGAAACATACTGTACAAATGCAAATACAGAGCTAGAGGCTAAGGAAGGCATAAATAAATGGTGGCTGGATCAGTAGGATGCTTAACAGTGGATGTGGTTGTTGTTATCTCTTCTATCATGCTGAGCCGCTATGCTTGTACGTACTAGTGGGTCTAAAAGGTGACCAAGCAAATGAGAAAGAACATTATCCTCCTCTATAAAGGCGCAAACACATCAGTGAGATGTTAGCTCTGTAGAAAGCATAAAACCGCTAAGAAATAGAAAATAAGAGGCTAACTCATTGCTGAATGTCACCTGAAGACAGCCAATCCTACAAGGGAGGGGGCTCTGCCTGAGCTCTCTGCTGAGCCCTGTTGCTACGGAAACCACCGGTATGGAACCTCGCCTCCAAAGGGCCAAATCAGGTAGAGGAGGATTCCATTAATGCCAGCTGGGAAATGGAAGGAGGCGCTGGCCTACAAGGCAAGGCCCCTCCAAGGCTCTGCAGCATTAATACATTAGCAAACACCATGAAACACTGCATAAATGTCAGCAATTACTGGCTAGATGAAAGGGCGGGTGGTGGTTGGGGGTGAAGAGATGGAGGGGATGTAATAAGGATGTCCCACTGGCTGTCAATCACTCCAACAGGTGTGGAGGAAGGTCTGCCAATCAAAACGGCTCCAATGAGATGAGGCCCATCTGGAAACTCGCCATGCTGCGTTTTTGAGGCAGGAGAGGAGGCTCGATCAGCTTATATCAAACAGCAAAGGAAGTTAACATCCTGTCTGCCTCTCAAATCAACTGTTGCCAAGACCTCTGTAATCAACTTCAGCACTGTTCAAAACAGCTTCACTAAAGCCACAAAACTCAGGAGGAATATGAATGCAAAACTAGATCATGGTGTTTGAAAAATAATGTCAGAGCGTTTGTTTTAGCCTACTTGGAGTAAAGTGAATTCCATCAAATTTTACTATTACAAAGTCCAATAAGTGGACTTTTTCCAGTACAATCAAGAAAGAGGAGATGTAGTAAACGCAATGAAAATGAAAAGAAATGCCAAAGCAAACACAAAAAACAACAGCGTGCTTCCTCACATGATCCCCTACTTGGATACTCTGGCAAATACTACAAATGTATTAATCAGTACAAAACATTAGAATCACAGCACCCAAAAATATATCCTAGAAAAATTATAATTGCTAACAAATGACTGACAGATCCACACTGATGTATTAGGTGTGGCTTGGAAAAGTTGTATGCCAGCATTGCGAAGCAAATTAAGGGGGGGGGGACGACACACACCAGAAAGGTGTTCACATTAGCGACCCCAATTGTGGGTCTCAATATAGAAGTCAAAGTTTAAACAAAGCGCTGTAACCAAGATAAAGTATTTGTTGCTTCTTGCAGTGTTCTGATTTGTAACCTTTGCAAAAATGAAAAAGAAATCTTACTATGTGAATTAGTACTTGACCCAGGTCAACATAATCTGTCTGCTAGAAATGAGCATCACCTCCCATTGCTACTGCTTCAACTACACATTGTGCTTTCCTTTTACATTCTACTTCCTTAGTTTAACACCACATACAATAACACAGTGGTCTAAATAAACTGATCTGAAGTTCACTGCTATTCGAGTATTATCCACTACGATCCAATTTCAACTCTCTATAAGGCCTCGGACAATTCAGAGCACAATAAACAATGAAACGCATTGAGTGGACAGTATCAGGGAGGGGGACGCAACACAACTACTAGTTTCTACGAAAGGTGAGAATTTCTTTCTAACAAACTAGTTTCCTGCACTCCAACAATAGAGGACATAATTAAACTAACAATAGAACTCAAATAACTTTCTCAGAACACAGAAGAAACTGATACTGAGCTAGTTGATCCATTAGATGAACTAAAAACATTTGTTCTCTGTGCTCACAACATTTTTAAACAAACTATGATTGTATAACGCAGCAACCAAACTGGTCTTAGGTCTGAAAGAAAAACTATAAACCCGACTGGTACAGTAGTCACAGTAGAGGCAACTACAGTGACACTGTCATAGTAAGTGCTGTGTTTCATGTCAATACTTCTGATACTGCTGTCAATATAATATGTAAGTTTCTGTACTGACAGTACAATTATATTTTCCTCTAAAAATGTATTAAGTATTATATTTAGATTTAAACCAAACATCACTAACTTACATGCACACTTTTTAAAATATATGATACTTTTATAAATCAGGCAACGTTTGACCTAAAAACAAGTAAACACCAACATTTGACCTGTGGCAATTTTTTATGCTAATAATGTTTCCAAATTTTGGTTCTACAATCATAGCTTGTCAAAACTCAAAGTATCAAGGCTCGATAAGCTGTAGGCACAATGTGTACAATAAGGGCAGGCACATTTGCAAACACGCAAATGCAAATACACACACACACACACACACACACACACACACACACGTAGAGTAAATGCAAGCAGGCAAACAGTTATATCACACACTTAAAGGCAAAGCAGACTCAAGTAGTGATCGATTCCAATGCAAGCGGGTTAGTGTACAGAGCTAAACATAATCTGGGGCCTCTGGCTGCCATGTTTATTGGCCCAAATCCCAAGAGATGAGACTGGGCTAATGAGCCAGACACTAACACTGGCTCCCTGTCCGCCTTCTAGGCCAGCCTAGCCCTGGGCTTTCTCTGTTAATACCTTCACACATTTCAATAAGAGAGCTATGGTGAGACCAGAGGCCATTATTACACTTCTGTCTCTGTGCTTTTTAATATCTTCTCATCCTGAAAATACACTGCAGATGTGTGTTAGCCAGGTGCCGACCGGGCTTATGATGCCACAATGAGTTGCAAACTATTCATGATACCTGGCCATCATATCCACAGCTACCTACAAGAATAGGCTGAGGTTCACTGAAAACCAGTCAAGATTACAAAAATACATAGACAAAAACCACATTTATTTGGCTTTATCCCAAGTTATCTCAACATTATACTGAGATTGGAAGGGCTTGTTTGGAAATGGAAGTCACAAATAAGCATGCAATGTTGCTTTTTAGCAAAGAAATTATACATCTGTGTTTTAATACTATGTACCAAAATCAGTGTATTTATTGATAAACAACTGTTTTTCATGTTTAGATCTATAAATATAATTTTAATTCTGATAGTAATACATTATTTTAGACAAAAAAAAAATTAAGATGATGAAATTATTAAATATCTCAAGGCTTTGTGATGTAATGATAATGTGAGAGATGTCACTGTCCTTCAAATATTGGAAAAAAGTCCAAAGTTGTTCAGGTACTGAAAACCCATTGTGTGTTCAAAAACAGACTAAAGTTATTTATTTGATCACTGAAAAATGCTGAGGAATTTTCTTTCCTTTGTATGTTTACAAAAGAATCACAAAGTCCCAGTTCCATCTACAACTAGGCACAGCAACATCCTGAACACAATTTTAAAAAAGTGTCTGTGGTTAGCCGTCTTCCTCTGTCAGTGTGAACAGGAAAGTCATAAAGCACATGCTGCATATTGTGGTTGTAAGCTTGACAAGTCAGTCATTTGTTACCATAATACTCGAGCACGTTTACTCATACTGAGGTCAGTCATTGCGCCACATGCCCACAATGTGCTTCCAGATTTAAACTGATTTCTGCTGCAATCCCAGGCTGTTTACTGATCACATAACTGGATGTCTACAAAGATAATGCTAACAATCATAAATCTCCATCATAGCAGTATGGTTTGTTTGGTGGTTACCGGGTTTATAATTGCCTGCTCTGAGCTGTAATGGAACACAATAAAGCAAACAATCTCCTGCAGTGAAATGATGAATAACCTTTTATCCATTGCCCTTCTGGGTCTTTTGATTTACTTCGAGTCATAAAAACAGGTGCAGTTAGTTTTTTTACTTTGAGTTTTTGAAATGGGAACGATGAGTGACACATGAAATAGATGGTATAACACTAAAATACCTTACGTGGACACTGGCATGATAATTAACCACAAATGTGCACTGCCACTTACTGTAAAAGAATAAATAGAAACTCTGTAGTCTAGTTGCTACAGTAGAGCCAGTTCTGCCATAGAACATATAAGCTAACGGGGGGGGGGGGTGGGGGGGCAAAGTCAATACCAATGCTCCAAACCAAACAACAATCGTACATAAAAAAAAGAAAAAAATATTTAGCTAGAGGTTAATACAAGAATGTGTGCACAACAACTCCTCAATGTAGCATGATAAACCATCCCATACAATTAGCATGGGAACACATGTGCAGTCAAAGAAGGGGCAAGACAAAAGGGGTCAGAGGTTCCTCAAGGTTCATATGAAGGCCGCTTCTGATCAGCTTGACTGTGTGCTGGGTGAATGGCTGAGAAGAGCACCCTGGGATGGGAGAGGTCAACAGGACTCAATGATGTGAGCTTTAATGTCCACAGATAGAGGACACAAGATGGGACCGTCTTTGACATCTTAATTAGCTTCAACATCTTACTCTCATGCCTACTGACATACTTTTGCCATTGAACAGTTTCCACTGCAGTTTGCAAGTATATCAAACCAATGTCAATTACTACTCTTTAAATCATAGACTTTAAGCTATGCTTGATGTTTAATTATGTTTAAGTCTACAGTCTTGGATCTAAGCAGCATTAGGGCAATATGTACAGTAGAGAATAAAGTGAGGACAGATGTTTTGTTAACAAGTACATTTTTGAGTGTGTTTTGTGTCTGCGCTTCTTACAGAGTCATCAGATGCTGTCGCAGGCCATCCTTCCCACTGTTGATGCCGAACTGGGATATTGGTCAAGTCTGAAATGTTCCTCTTTACCTGGGGGAAAAAGTAATGTTTAAATTATTTCTGTATATTTAAAATGCAAAAATCAGGCCTGCACTACTAATTAGAAAGGGTAAAAAAACAATAAATAAAATGTTATAAATGACAGCAATGGCTACATCAAAATATCCCACGTTTAGCACTGTGAGGCAAAGACCTAGCAAAAAGATGAGTCAAAAAGAGGGAGGAGGACTTAGAAAACACATACACACCACCAGTTTTATCAACATTCTTCAGATGCCACGGCTAATGCCCAGCAACAACAGCCCCACACTCTGAAATGAACAGTATTTCTCTTTTCCTATTCATGCGCGGATGCTGTATCTGCATCACTTAATAACATTCTGTGCTTTTAAACAGTTAGCAGCCTGCAGCGCCTGTCTCACCGAATGCTGTGTTACACCGTCCAGACTGCTGTTGGTTTAAAGCCCTAATGCCAACCTGATGTGCGCCAGCCAAAACTGATCAAAGCGCCGTTGGCGTCTGAACGCTAGCAGCCGTGGATTCTAATGCATTTGCTCACCAGAATTCTGCCCTTCAGGTCTACAGGGCTGGACACTGATGCTGAGAAAACAGTCTATTGTGGAGCAAAGATCCCTCCACACATGGGTCAAATCCTGTCTTTGTAAAAAGCACTGAAGAGAGATGGATCCTTGGGCATATGTACAACTGCTGATCATAGAGGTGGAAACTTAAAGAATGCTACAAGCACAAAGTCAAAACCTATGTCAGGCAAAGGAGGAAAGCAGCTGCAAAACACTGAACAGTGAGCTTGGGCATTTGTGCCTTTACACTCTGAAATTACTACAATTTGTGTCTGTGTATATGTACTTGAATGGGTGTCTAAGACCACTAACACATGATGGGCTGCTTGAAGAAGTTATTATATTTAAATCTGAAGCTGAAAAAAAAAAAAACTTAAAAAATCAACTGCACTAGATTTCTAGGTCGAAGACGTTTCACCTCTCATCCAAGAGGCTTCATCAGTTCATCATTTTAAATCTGAATTTATACCTTGGCCAAGGCAACAGTAAATATCCTATATAAGCATTGAAACTCAAAGGTGGGCCTGACACAGCAAAGCAATTTGCAGTACAAACAAGCTGAGAAAAAAAATAAAAAGAACAATAATAAATGAGTGGCACAGGCCATCCTTTATCTATCGTAAATCCCACACCACACTGTTTGGTGCCTATCCTTATGAAGAGAAGCTATGGCCAGGATAGCAGGCTGGGGTCAGAGCGGGTGGCCAGTGTTATTACAGAGTGTAATATCTATGTTTGACCAGCCGGACTACAGGGATTTGACTGACCGGCTGGCCGGCCGATGAATAGAGGGGAAAAGGGAGGAAAGGAGAGGCATAAACACTAGTAATGAAGAGGCTGCAGTCAAAGGTTAAAGCAGCATCAGAGAAACAACAAACTAACGCCCACCACAGAGAGAGAAGGTGAGATTTGGAAGAAGAGAGTGGAGACGAACAGAAAAAGGCACCTGGCAGAGGGCAGCCTGATCTCCCCACAGAAAGAAAACCCAGCAGGCCTGCCTACCTAAAATGACACCACCAGAATCTGCAGGCAGTCATTCACACTGGCGTTCTTTGGCTATTTGAAAAGTAGAGTGCTATTATGAGAATGTGATGTGACCACATCAAACAAGAACAAAGTCATTTAGACTATATAGCAACCAAACCACAGAGTGACAAAAAGCCTTGCAAAGCTTCTCCAGGTAGCCCAAACGTTTGTTGTAGTGCCCAGCTACAAGGCAGTGCATATGATGGACACAGCAGCCATCACTGAGGAAGCAATACTGTCTGATGCTGCCCCCTGTCTGCCACATCAACCATCTCACTAACAAGTTAAGACTGCAACAAATGAAAACAATTCTATTTAATCTTTGATGCTGAGAAAGTAATTTTACATAAACTCCTACTGGCAACTACCAGCTAAAACTTGTTTGACCTAAAACAGATCAACTGTTTGACTGCCATTACAACACTGGCTGGGTTAATAAGCAAAAAATCGTACCAATGGTGGCTCATAAAATTACCCATCAGTCTGACTTGTAGATAAAGAAGCTAAATTGTAAAGTAAATATCTTAAACAAAGCAGAACAGTATTTAAATTGAAGTCTTAATAATATGTATAGCACTGCCGATTTGTGAGTTGTTGTTCATGTTGAGATGAGGCAGGGATGTACGAGCCAGTTACACACAGCATTAGCTAGACTGGCTGTGGTGCAGAGCTGCTGGGCAATATGCCTCACAGCAAAATTAATGATCCAATCATTGTAAATGCCAATTGCATGTAATCCCTGGCTGGAATCAAATCAAAGAAAAGGAAAGGTTTCCGTTAAACAGTCACAAGCTCTCTCTCTCTCTTTCTTAGTCTCCCCTAGGCACCAGATGCCTTTCTTTCACTCCTTTCTCGATCCAAGCTTTTTCTCAGCTCTATAGCCCTGTCTACATTTGGTTCCTATATGTCTCCCAGCTGCAGGGCAGGGATGGGGCCCAGGTTCAGCCCCGGGGGGCAGTAGAGGAGGGAAATCCCTAGGACAACTGGTCTGGTCACGGACAACTCAGGACCCAGCAACCATCCCTATTCTACCCTCTACTTCCCTGGCAAACATTTGCTCTCCAGCTTAGCTAAGCAGCTAGCCAGCAACTTACCCCCACACTCTTGTCTGGTAATGCCAATCAGAGTCTACACCACCCTGCGCTCTAGACATGGAGAAAAAAGAAGGCAGAGAGGGGACACTAGGAGAGAGAGATGGAGAATGAAGGGACAGAAAAGGAGGGGCAAGGGCAGTTCCCTGAGAGCAACAAGGCAAAGCCAGAGCCTTTGGTGAAGACAAACAAGAAGACCGGACTCTATCCCTATTGATATGCACAAGCAGGGACCATCGGCTAGTCTTCAGCTAAGACAAAAGAGAGAATGGAGAGAGAAAGATGCTCTGTAGTGGAGTCCATGTGTGTCTGTGAGTGGACACAGTATGAGGAAAAAGAGTCAGGCAGGCTGAATATGGTGTAACTTCTTTGTTGCACTCTTAAGTCTTCTGACGATGACAGAAAAACACTTTCCCTCCTGTTTGTCTTTATTGTTACTCTTATCTCAGAACTTCACAACCTATCACAAGGTATTTCAAAGCACCATCACTGAGTTCACCCACAACTACTATTTGACTGCCTCTAATGATTGCACTTGCACCTGTAGCTATCCATGGTGGTTAGCGGGCCTTTTAAATCAGTCCCTACATGATGTATACACATGAATTAATGACATATTATTTCCTAAAACATTACAGTAATAAAAGGGGAAAAGCCTGTTTCCTAGCTAAAGAGTAAATATATAAAGAGCATGGTCAACATGGGGCAAACACAGCCCAGATCTACACAGGTTAAAGTTCTAGGCTTCATTTTCACTACAGGGGGCCTTGAGATGCCTAAAGACAAGCATGTGTAAGAAAAAGACTGCGACATGGAGGCCTGTTTAAGCCCACATTGTCCCTGCTCTATCCCCCATGGCCTCTTACAGCACCCCCACCAAGCCAATAGTCCTTTGCCTCATTTCTGTGTCCATGGTTTCCCCCTCCCACACGGCAGGAACCCCTCGCCAGTGTTTGTAATCCCAGCAGAAACACTTAAGGTTCACAGTGGGTGCTCATCAAAACCATCTGCTTGAGAAGAGAGTGAGAAAGGAAGAGAGAGTTGATGGAGGGAGGAGAAAAATAACAGAGCGAGGGAGAAAACCAAGGAGGCAAGTTGCCTCCTCTAGTTCAGATGTTGGTTGTACTAATCTGTTCAATTAGCACCACTACAAGCTCTGCTAGCAGACTGATCATTATTAGTGTAATCTTCACCTGCATGGAGGAGTTAGGCACAAACCACGATAGCTGAAATGAGCAAAGAACAAGGCACTCCTTTCACTGCTACTTGACAGAAAATAATTAAACTTGATGTAAAACATGGAGACCATAAAGAATAACTAAATTTAAACAACAACAAATTTTATACAGCCACCACAGGAATAAAAACGATAGACTGATTCCTAATATTGTCACATAAAGTATTTTGTGTAAATGATCATTACTTCATGTACATGTGAGCTATGACCAGCCGTGGCTCTTCTCTATCCTACCTGGTCCGTCTTTGGGAAACTCATTTCCTCTCACCTCTGACAGCAGGATACCCACTGTGAATAATAAATGATACCTGCTCAAGTCTCCCTTGGCATTTGGGGGTAGGAGCAGGGTAGAAGGATAGTACAGGCCAGTAATGTGCGTGTGTGTGTGCGCACGCGCAGGGTAGCTCTTATTTGAACTCACACGGGCCCAGACATAAACACACACGGTTACTCATCTGCATAGGCAAGCAAGCAGCAGCTGTGATAGTAATAACGGATGGACAGAGAGAGATGTACTGCCTTCACATTGGGTATGAGTAACAATAAATATTTCATGGGCTGCCAAATCTACTGTTTAGTTTCAGATGAAGAAAATGAACGGACTCGGCTTCTTTCCATTGCTCCCGCATGCCTAGATCAAACAATGTGCAGTCATTTAAACTGCTTCTTAGACTGTTGAGACTGCCGAGAGAGAGGAAGAAAGACGCAGCGTAGGTGGAGTGGGGAGATAAAAAGAGGGGGTTGTAGCAGACCACAGCTGTGAGAGTAATTATGTCCTTGGAAATGTGATCATTTGTGATGAATAATGAATCGATGGCTGAGATAGACTAGCAATGTTTGGCAAAAGGAATGAAAGCTGTGTTATGAGAAACCAGAATCAGGTACAATAATAATGTGCATGTGAGAGACTATGGATGAGTTACTGAGAGCTTTGGTGTGTTGTCTGTGCATATAAAGCGACTTTCTGATGTCCCATACGGTCTGTGCATGACGGTGTCATACCTCCTGAATGGTTCTAGAGCCGGGGAAGTTGAGGCTGTAGTCTCTCTGGGCCTTTTTTTTGCTGATGATTAGCAGGAAGTTCTGGTTTAATGACTCCTGGAGAGCACTAAAGAAGAGGGGAACAATTAAACAGTTAAGTAACAGGAATGAACACAGTAAAACAGAAAGCAATGCAGAAAAAATATATCAAAAGACGTGACAATTATGACAAGACAAATAAAAGAAGGGAGGCAAAGAAAAACCAACATTATCTCTAAGAGCAACTGAGTCAAGTGAAGGGCAAGTTGAAACTTGTTAACTAGTGGTAGCCTGCTGGCCCACAGGGAGGTGGGTGCCTCCTCAAGGGGGCTACTCACCCACTTCACAGGTTATGTCTTAACATGCCTGGTCAGAGCTGCGCTCAGCACAGCAGTCTACTACAGCTCTGACCTCCCACACAGTAACAGCATGGAGTCCATCAATCTGCCTCATTGCTAACAAACCTGGAAGACCATTATGAAATAAACCCAGAAGAGCCTTGAGCTCTTTCCTAACCAGAAACCCAAAAGGTGCATTAGAAGCAAGATTTTGCTGTGACATACCTTAAAGCAGCACAGACTATATCTGAGACGTTTGATGGTACCAACCTTTACCATAAACTCCTCAGTTACTTTGCCTCATAGGTTTCTGACTTTCAAAAAAGTTTTTTTTTTTTTTTTTTTTTATAAACACTGCCAGCTCCCTAAAACTCAGTTCAGTTGTTCAAAGAAAATAGAAAATAGTGCAAATGAGGGACGAGCAATGCAACTACTTTCATTCTCAAGAGAAAACGACCCATCATGACACACTACCTCTTCAGCAGATGTTGCTGGATTAATGCTGTATGCAGCTACTTCACTCTCTGCCTCTCTTTGCTCTAACTGCAGTAGCAATGACTGTGTATATAGTGAAATTACAATTTATATCAGTTGCAGGCTGCTGTATGCCATGCCAGAGACCACTTGATGACTGATAAAATTAAATGTATGTATATGTAATATCCCCAGACAATACTACAATCTCTATCATTTTTACCTAAGTGAAACATTATTCCATACCAACTGAAATTAATAATATATTACAACATGGAAGCAAAATGAGAAGAACAATGACCCTGCCACAAAAGTATTAATAAAAATAAATCAAGCCAACATGATGCATCATAATAGCTCACCATCAACTGAATGATTAAGTGGCCCATGACATGTATAGAAAATGACCTGTATTTTAAAACCAAAGCACAACCTAAACATCCACTGGTGGGACAAAAGACAGATACAAGCCGTTTACAGGTTACAACTGGTATAAGAAACTAACAGTCTCAAGGTCTATGCCATGTACTTTTTTTTTTATTGCAAGCAGAGACCTGGCAGTGGAAACATGACCTGTCCAAGAGCTCTAAATGAGCAGAGTTTCTGGACTGACACCGTAGCTCGCTCAGCAGCTTATAGCAGTGACAGAGACGATATCTGTAAACGATGCAAACGTAGAAGCTGTGTGCTTCACGTAAAGAGGTGGTGGTGGAGGAATCAACTTTTGGAAGCGTCATTTACAATAAGCTGTGAGGTTAAGTAGCGTTTTGAACAAACGCTGGGTCTGTGAGGCTGAATATCAACGGGAGGCTTAAGGGCCGAAGCAGGCACTTAATCAGGGCTCAAAACCCAAGGAGAGGAGGAAGAGTTGAGAGAAAGAGAGGGATGAGGGAATTAATATGTAGCGCACACATTAATTATGCAATCACACCCTTAATCTGTGCAGATCTGGACGAGCTTATGTTAACAGAAGCTCAAATTTACTGTAATGACAGCATATTTACATTGACTAAAACTACGAAATCAATATGTAAATGTAATGTTTGTTGTAGCTAACTGAAGAAGATTGGAAATGTGTGGACTGGGAAGGATGAATGCATATGTAATAGGGCTGAGCAGAAGGATGAGAGATGTGTGTGCATGTGTGCGTGAGAGAGAGAGAGGAGAAATGGAAGGGTAGGGACACATAAATAAGGATCTCGCTAATATCATGATTATGTTTGGACACAGTCCCGAGCTACTGCTGGCAGGCAGCTAGACTCCTAAATAGACAGAAATAGAGGGTAAACTGAGTGGAAGTGTTACTCTGTCCTTCCAAGCAAAGAAGGAACATCTTATCAGTCATTTATGGCAGACCGACAAGCCATTTGGTGTGTTTGGGGGTGGAGTTCTGTTTAAGATTTACTCTGAAAAACCAGATAACTTATTGTGTTCTTTAGTATAAACATAGCTACTCAAAATTTCAAATGCATACAGAAACCACTGCCATTCACGAGTCATTTCCTCATCATTTCCCATCTCTCTGAAGAGGTCTGTTGGTTCAAATATAAATAAAAACTCCCATGTTTCAGGTCTGATATCCCTCTTTCTGAGCTGCTTTCACCTCTGATGTTGTCAAAGCTGTTGTCTTCTGATATAAGCAGGCCCTCAAGTACAGGGTTGAAATGTGGATTTCTCAGTGTTTGCTTCTGCCTACAGAGGTCTCTTTCTCACTCAACACACACACTTGGTGACATCTAGGTCGGCCTGCAGCATCTCCAGAGGTACTTGACATGGCATAAGGGTGCTGGGAGGAAAATGACATTTAACTTTATTGACAGAGAAAATGGAGCATTTTGCAGGGGAGAAGAGCAGGCTAAACAGATTGGTTTCATTCTGAGGTAAGCCCATCGCCTAAGCTGCGAGTCCCCGCGGCACAGAGCAGACTCTAGACCTTATTAAACTAGCATTGCCAGACACTGAGATGCACACGCATGCACAATGTGACATGTGCCTGCAAAACACAAATACCCATACCCACACTTTCAAATACATATTTTTCCCAATATACCAAAATGTGTCTTTCAACTGATTCAAGACACATATGGAGAAACACAAAATCACACTGACCAGGAGAGTACAGGCTGACCAATCATCTTGCCTGATATGTACAGAGGAGGTCAGGAAGCACACACAGGGTCTTCTTACCTCCTCCATATTTTGCATCCACAACAAAGCAGAAGGATATGAAATCGTTTCGACTCTGCTCTGTTTTGGTCTGCCATCTGGTCCCAAAGTTAATCAGCAGGCTAACTATTACATACTCCCCATCACGGCCACTCTACCTAACCAGCTAGCTACTTCCCTAAAGTATCTAATATCAGGTAGCTGAAACACAGACAACACCGTCGGGGAGACTGAAAGCCAAATTACAAAATAGACAAAATCTAATTAATCATTTTTGCTATTTGAAATTTTTTTGAGTTCAAATTAAAATAACCTTTCACTGGCAAACGTGCTGGCTAAGAGCTGGAGTGGAGAACAAACAAGGAAGGAAACAGGCTCCATTGAAATATTCATCAGGCCTTCATCATTTATGTAGGAGATTTGCTCCTCCACAACACCCTCTTGTATTCAGAGGCAGTTATCAACATGGCCACAGAAAAAAAAGCTACAGTACTAACTGCACATCACATCACTAGCTAAAGAGCTACCTGAGATGCACTGGTGCTCAAAGGAAAATCTCCCCAAGCCTCAAGATTCATGGCTTATAATGACAGTGCAGCACTATGTAATCAGCCCGTTTAGTTTAGGTGTGTGCGCTGCATGAGCCAAACTCAACAAAGTAACTGCCAGGAATATTAGCATTTATGGGAAATTTGTATTTTCACTCAGCAACAATTTGAAGCAAATAAACATTGTGAAATTAAATTTGCATGGATGACCGTCTTTCTGATTACAACACCTATCTGACAGTCACCTGAGTCAAAATATATCATTTAAGATTACTTGAGAATTAGTTAAATTCTTTGACAACAGCCTTAGTAAATCAATCGTATTACCAACCACAATACTATTTCTACTGAGAAAAATAGCAGTAAATTTTCCTACCCTTTTAAATGTCATCTTGGTTTCATAGCACAGAATTGCAATCACTTTCCTAGAAGGGCATTTCACTCCTAAATACTGAACACTGCAAAAAATGCTAAACAAACCTGGGGTAAAGTAGTTTGACAGATTAAAATGCATTTTTCTGACAGTGAAGAGACAACAGATAAAGACAGTGTGTGTAAAAGACTTGCAGCAATACTAAAGGTGGGAAAAGTTAAAAAAAAAAGAAAATTGTGGTTTGTCGGAGGCGGCATACAACTGTGAATGCAAATTGTGGTTATGATTAACTGTGCAGATGTGGGTGATAGTATCGGACCAGATAAGTTCACATTACCATAATACATTAGTACCTTGAGTTGGAATGATGGGAATAATGTGCGCTTCTCGTCCTAAAACATCAGGCTAAGGAGCTGGCACAGAGCTCTATCTACTGCAACAAACTAATACACACTGCACACAAATTGCGTGTACTGTGGATATATGGTGTGACCACAGTTTATTTTTACTGCAAGCTAACAGTTTGTCTGGTACCACTACAGGGGACTGCTCCCCCCATACACCGTGATCTGTCACCTATCCTCTCCCAGTATGAGAGCAGGATCACCACACACACACACACACACACGCAGATACGCATATACATGCACACAGGAGGCCACCCACTCCATTCAGCCCCAACTGTCCTCCACCAAAATAGCTGACACAGAATAATGAGCTCCTGACACCCAAAATGATATCGATAACACTTGGAGAAATGGCAACGGTGCCGCTAAAAAGACACAGCAGTTAGTGGGGGAGTGAGAAGATGAGACAGAGAGAAGAGAGACCGGGGGAGGGAAATCTGGGGAGATGAGGGTTATTAGCTGCCAACACAATATATCTACCACTTAGTCTAACTAACAGGCAAAGCGGCGAACTGCCAAATGACTTCTTTAACAATTATTCTGGTGACATGTGGACGCTTGCTTGGCTGCTAACATGAGGAAATGTGGGGAGAGCAACAGTACAATTTTTATTTGAATCCACTGTCAACAAATAAAATAGGGCCATTAAATGTGAGAGTATAAAGAGCCTCTCGCGATCAGTCAGAAGGAACTGAACATTTTCACAAGATCCATTATAATGATCCTTTTTTATAACATAAAATTTCATTATACCTCAGTGAAATGTTTCACTTGTACCAAAATGTGTCTGTAGTTTATAGCAGGAGGCAGAATGTCCTTACTGTACTCCACAACCCTCCTAAACAGTTTTTACAGTTTTGTTTCAGGTGTTAATTTGTAATTTCTTTTCAAATAAAGGTCAATAGTAATGCTTTACTAGGGGTTCTAGTTCTTACCTTTAAACGCAGGTAAACTGCATTTGAAACAACATCCCTCAAAAGTCTCATGAAATATTGGTTAACAATATTTGTTAATATTTAAAGCACACAATTCAACTGTTTAACAGCACTAGCACTGCATGTAATTTTAAAAAATGGGTTAGTTCCCTGTGGATTTGATCGTTTGTTTTGGTTTTTGTTTTTTTTTGCTCGTAGACACTGCGGTCATCACATTAAGCAGCACAGGCCTCTAAAAATAAAAGCCATTCCTTTAATAATTACAGGAGTGGCAGAGATGTGTCTAGATCTTCCTCATTTGCCCTAGAAATGTCTGTAAAACACGCAGTTAATACCAACACGATAATCTCAAGCTCTCCAACCATACTAATATCTCAAGAAAACTAACAAACAAAAACGTGTATACTTAAAATCAAAATATGTTACATGCAGACAAGCACAGATCCTGACAATTACTTGTTCAGTGTTCTTATCTTCAAACTAAGAAATATTATTTTATAAAATAAAATAATCTTCATCACCTACAATAAGAAGGTGAAACAGGACTTCCCCGGACGATGTTTACCTGACACTGATGAAAGGCTGTTCACATGTTCAGCTGCCACCTGTGATTGTATTACTGCTATGACTTGACACTGAGCTGCCTGACATTTCAGAAGGAAAGGTTGCTAATACTGCCACGCACTCATGAGATGAACACACCACCTCTGGATGGAAAACACTGGCTTAATGAAGCTTTCTCAATAAATTTCTATTGTCATGGGGTACTACCACTAATGTCACAGACTGGTTGGTTTTAAAATATAGAACAAACAATAGATATGAAGTGGGGATAATATACACACAGTCTCTAAAAAAAAAAGTAAGGCGCAAAACAACCTTCAGCAAACAACAATGTCAGGCTAAAAGATACAAAGACAGGAGAGAAGATTACTATTTACACAACACAGAGATTGTGGGGGTAGACATTACTCTCAAAATGTCACAATGGATGCAAAAAAAATGAATGTGCACTGGCAGGTCAAATGTCCCTTAATATACCCATGAAACTGGGATTTGCTGGCTGGTTTTTGCAGACAACTTCAACGCCATAACTGGACATAGACCACCCCCTAGTGTTCACTTTAAATACTACACTCACTCAGTACTAGTAGTATATCATAGTGCATGTGCTTCATAAATTTGAAATTTGTCATGTAATTATTATTTTTTTTATATATATAAATGTGCAAATGCCTTTGCTTTCACTTTGTCATTATGAGTTACTAAGCATACACTGATGGGTAAAAAAAAAGCCATTCAGTCCATTTAAATTTAAATCTATGACTAGAATGTGCGAATGCTTTCTTAAGACACTATCTGCTCTAGGATATTGAGGGGAGGTGAATATATGGCACAGCATATTAAAAAAACAGTGCTGATTGCTAGGCTGAATACCTGTTTTTGCTGGTGCTGGCAGTAGGGGCAATGTCTGGGGTCAGGACATAGAGGCTGTTGTTCTTGGGCAGATGTAAACTTCTCAGCACCGTCTGATTGCACACAGAGACGCAGAAATTCAGCTTCAGAATGGTTCAGTTCAATGTTTAACATGGACCTTAATGGTTTTAAAAAATGTTTTCCACAGTGTAAAAGTCATGCATGCTGTTCTGTTGTTATAAAGAAAGTGATCAATACCCAGTGGGATGGAAACACAACCTGGTAACTCTGTACAGACAGGGAATTAATGTTCATTGTACAATATAACAAATATCAGGACACATGCATCTAAAATTTGAAATTCAAAAATAATCACTTTTATTTAGATCAAGACAGAACACAATGTCAAATAGCCAAAATATGATTACAAAAGACTACAGGTGTAGTTCATATCACAGGGGCTATTTTTCCTTTTTAATGTTTCATTGTCTTTTTTAATTTGAATGCTTATTACAAACATTTGTGGAGACAACTCACACTATCAGATACATCTCCAACCTTCCATCCCTTCAGCTGCATTTTGGACACTGGAACCCCAAGCTCTGTCTCAAGGATTTGTTTGATTTCTCCTGTAAATTACATTTATGCAGACCATTGCAAAGGAATATTTCAGCTTAACATTTACACACACACACACAAAAAATCTGTATGATATGTGAAGTATTATGCATAGTATGTACATCTGTGTTCATATGTGTGGCGCTCACCAACTGTGCTGCCTTCCTCCAGTACCAGCTCTACAGAGCGCTGCCGGTACTCCACTCTGAAGTTGAGCATTCGGGACTGACGCTCTACAATGTGTCGGGAGGAGGGGTTGATAGGGCAAAAAGCTGAAGCCGAAGATGATGGAGGAGATGAGGACGAAGATGAAGAGGACGGGGGAGGAACTGTATCTCCTACTGCTGCTGCATCGGCTGCTTCTGATTGGTTAGGAGGTCCGTACATGCTTGCCTGGCTTGCCTCACTGGAAAAGTTACTGTGCAGAGGTGAACAGGTTACTGATGATGTTGAGGATTGAGTGCCGAGTCTGCATATAATATTTTAATTATTTCAGGTTGTAAAAAAACTGAAATAAGTAGAAGGTTAGACTAAGAAGCCAAAACATAAAAGAAGCTCTCAAAAATATATATACCAACAAGAAATGACTTTGCATCTCACCCTCTGCTACACTATCTGCTTGTTTTTTCTCTTTGCCAATTGTTCATTGTATGACCCATATTTCACACAACACGGTAAATAATGTTTCTTTCTTTTGACCAAGAACAAATGCACCCTTTGTTCCTTGAAGTGTACTGTCTTGCAACAACTGAGTGCCAGAGTCCAGGTTTTTAACAGAGGCTGCATTTTGTTTGGCCCACCAGCTTAGAGAGGCCACTGTCCCGAGGAGTGGGTTGACTGTTAAAACACCCACAAAACCTCCAGGTACAGTGTGGGCCGATGGGGTGGGAAATTAACTTAGCAAAGCTATCTCCTGCTCTAACCACTCAGTATCAAACCAACTTTAGTAATCAACCAATTATTTGAATATCTACAATAATTTCTGGACTATAAACCGCACCAGAATATAAGCCGGATCCACTAAATTTAAGACGACGAAACATTTTGTACAGAGCCGCAGGTGTCCACGTTGTAACATGAGATATTTCAAAAGCCAGATCGATCACCTGTAACTTGAAAGCTGCATCATATGCATTTCGTCATGTGTTGTCCATGATGAGGGTGTGTGCATGAAGTGAAAAAAGTAGCGGCTTATAGTCTGGAAAATACGGTAAATCCTTCCTAAAATGATAACTGGTAAGAGTCAAATTGGTACTCAAATCTAAATGAGTGAATATCTTAAAATGACATACTTAAAGAGCATGCGTTTCTATGTTTTCTGACATATCTACAATGTTGATAAGCTGCACTGTTGTAGAATGATGAATTATCATCTTAAACATGATTGAAAGCTCAAAAAGAAGGTGTACCTATGTTGTTGTACTTCTATGTAGAAGCAACTGGGTTTATAGACATCTGACAAGACTTTTTTCTACCAAAATAAAATATTACATGATAGGTTAAGGATCTCCTTGAATGGACATAATCTCCAGGCAGTTCGTGTGAGCTTGCCCGACATCCACCAGTGCCCCCACCATATTGGCAAAATGTTATATTGCCTTGTTTGTTAAGGATATTAAAGCGGAATTTTTCTACTGCGCCCAGTTTTGTGGATACATTTTCCCTCCTGCTGCTGCACTGTAGCCAGAGGATGTAGAGAAAAATACAGGGCCTGAAGTTACTGCATGTCTGGCAATGTTCCTGTACAGGGACTGGCTGTTTTACCTGACCGAGTCTAACCAGTTCATCAATGGTGGATTCCCCCAGAGCGCAGCACCTGTTTGCTTTGGCTGCTTGAGGAGATAAAAAATTAAATGTCTGGAAATGTGCAAGCCATGGGCTCTTTAAGTAACAACACTGATCTGCTGAGAGATAATGTTTGAAAAATATAAAATAGTATATTTCAAGGGTGGACCAATCACACTGACATTAAAGTTAAAATCATGAGTATAAGGTATGAGCACCTGAACAGCATCTGAATGTGTGAATTATCAGACAGCAAAATACAGGTTTCGAATATTCTGACCCTCTCATGTACTTTATGCAGTTGGGGAGGACAAAAAATATAGACCTATCTAAATATAATGTATTTCAGTACAACACCACCTTTAACTACATTTATTACAAATTCACCAATAAGTGAAACATTTTGAGCTTCATAAATACACACGGTAAGGCAGAAATGTTGCACTGAATTACACACAATTGTACAGGTGTACCTAATAAAGTGGACAGCGAGTGTATGTGAAACATTTAATAAACATGTCAGTATTTGCAAAGGGCTACTGAGATAGTATTACACAAACTAAAACTACAACTTTGGTAAACCAGACTGACAACTACTACATTCCACAAATGTGCTGTGAGGACACAGGAAGGCCGTGAGTGCACTTATACCTAAACTTGGCACAATCACACTGAAGCTGTTAAATTGTCCATTGTTGCTTTTTTGGGCCTAGTTCCATACTGCCCTACATCTACTGTAGATGGCACTGCTCCCCTGCAGCCCAGGAGGTGTCCTAAAGGGTCAAACTGCCAAGCCCTTCACCCACAAACTGTCTAAACCAGAGCCTGAATTCAACTTCAGATAATTCAGGGTTTGTTTTTTTACTAAGTCCTTCCAGATATTATTTTTGATGGCTTGAGGAATTTTGGTTACTGATCTATAAGTCAAACTTCTTTTAGATTTCAACTTTCTTACTTCAGAGGACATCAGGGAGGAGAGAAATGCATCTGAGACAGAAGCACTGGCATAGTCTCCAGCTGGCCCCAGCTCAGGTCACGTCATCAGAGTCTGTTTACTGGGCAGTGCCAGCTTACTCATACCAGTGCCAGCCACTTAGTAAATGTGTTGGCTGCTGATCACGCTGCTAGCCAGCCTCCATTCATAGCAATGTGTGCCCTTGAGAAAGACCAGCTATATTCTCATAGCCCAAGGGCTTGGATCACACTAAAACACATGCATGCGCACACATGCACACAAGTGTGTACACAAAATAAAATGGTTTAACACAACATCTTCAGTTTGAGTGGGTTCAGATCAGCTCACTGCATTCATCAGTATCAACCAACCATTAAAGGAAAGTGAAGGACACAAAGCCTCCTAAAGAAACCTCTTCTATTCAGAAAGTGTGTACAACTCCACTCTTGGCAGAACGTTTCCTTGCAGTTGCAGTGTCTTTTATATTATTCCTCAATTGAACAGCAGATTAGAAACCACAGGAGGAGCAATAACCTCTGAGTAGTTAGTGTTATTTGCTGGATATGTATTTATATTGATAGGTTTCTGTTAAACAACTTCCAAATGCTACTTCATCAGGGAAGTGGATGATCCACAAAATTTTGGTCCAATCAGATCTACACAAACTATACCCACAAGTTCATGAAAGCATTAGGACAAACACTGAAACTGTTCAGTTTTCACTGGCTGGTCGTTGCTGAAGTGAAGAGAGTTCAATTTCCTGTTAATACATTCAGGCTTTGGTTTCACATTTCCTGTGCCATTTGAAAGTTGCTTCACTTGATAATCCACACTGTAGATGTACACTGGTGTGACAGGCACACTATCAGATACATCTCCATTCCACTCCCACACCATCCGTCCATGTTTCCTTTACACCATCTCATATTTTTATACATGGTCATTTTATAAAACAAAGAACAGTGCAGTGAAACATCACACGTGATATCAGGTGACATTCATTCAGTGTTGTAAGGGCAACTGATATATTTTCTCTAAGTTACAGAAAATTGTGGCAACATAGCTGTTACCTTTGTAAGATGCCATTCTCCTGTGGTATCACTCCATTGATGGCTGCCTGTAATGAAAGCAGAAGTTAATTAAACAACAAATGTTCTTGTTTTAGTTGCAGTGTTAGACCAACTCTGATCTGGGTTCTTCAAAGTTAAACTATTCCATCCTTAACTGCAAATAATTAGTCATTATATGAGTCATATCAGCAAACACCACCATGCAAAACATAGAATAACCAACACATGTGAAGCATGTTCAAAGAGACTGGCAGATACTGCAGCTTATATTTCTAACAGGTATTTCGATGGTAACCACAATACCCACTGTACCTATGAATTTGGTAACAGAAAGCTTTATGTACATGCAAAGATACACCTTGGTTAAAATAAACTAACTTCCCTATTTCAGTGCAGTCAAGTGTCTTACAACCCTCAAAATAAACCATCACTTTGGTGCTTTTTTTTTTTAAATAAAACTTACTATGGGCACCTGCTATTGTTCATTAACTAAAGCTACTTGTTACTTCCTGGTTTAATCATAGCCCTGATTCCTTTTGCATTAACTAAATATGTAACTGCAAAAACAATCTAAAGTGTCTTACGTTAACGCTGAAAAAAATTGTGTTGGTACTCTGTACCCAAGGGCATAGTGAACAGACACCTTCAACAGCATCATGCTACTCATCATTCTGCAAGAACAGACTGGAAAGATACAGGTTAAGGTTCTATGAAATTGACATGACACCCAAAACCATCTTAATCCTACTAAACATGTTAGTGCTGACCTCTAATGCAGCATCCAGTCATTATCAGTGGGCACTTATGTGAAGCACTGATATCTGCATGATTAGTTTACCAAGAAGCCACATATTCCTCGTTGGTAAAGTGCCACAGACTGTGGTGGAGGTTATCAGGACTAAACATAGCCTAAAGCAGTACTGAACACAAGTCTGTAACTGAAGATTCCACTTTTAAAATGAGCTGTGCCTGGCCTTATTTATCGTGTTTCTTTGAATCTCTCAACTCTCTTGTGTGCATTTTTCACGGTTTCTATCCCACTGCTTCAATTGATTATCAATGTACAGTGCTATATGTAAATGTGAAAAGAAGACCGGTCTTTTTCATGGATGTCATTTTGACCTATCACAGTAGGAAAAGCCCAGGTGCAAATAAGTCACTGATGACTAAATTCCATTTTGCTGCCTCAGATTCTTGATATTGTGCATGCAAATACCTAATGTGGGAGAAAAGTATTTATATTCTATTCCACAACAGTGACAAACAACAACTAACAGAAGTATTTCCTTTGAGTATCAAATGCCACCTCTGCACTTGAAATGAATGATCAGAGAAGAAATGGTCATCTTGGATGTATTTGAGAAGAAATAAATGTACCATCACATGCAAAGACACAGAGTTGAGTAAATTTAACCAGGCAGTAATATGCTTCAGTTAGTGCTTTTTTCATAAAGGAAGTAAATGTTTGACTGGAATGCCATTATCTTGTCAGTAAACTACAACAGGAAATTTTACCAAAAGAAGAAAAAAAAAAACTGAAGTGCATTGGATTGAAAACATTCACAGCAGCGAGGATAAAGAGGTTTTGACAAATTGAAGAGCATGCAGCAGGCACTCTAATGTGCTTTGTGTGTAAGGATTGGGAAAGTATCCCTGTATTTAGCCATGCTGTGGCAAAAACAGCTCTTTTATACTGACCATACAGATGGGGAGTGGAGCAGTGGATTATGCTGCATGAATGTTTTATTACTACTATTTTAGATATTTTTACCACGCCTGAATTAAAAACTGCCTCTGCTTTTTACTAAATGAAACAACAATCGGGGCAAAAGAGCAAAGGCAGTAGTTTACACAGCAAACGCCATAATAAAGGAATGTATCTATTCTTTTAGACTGCCCCATCCCACTCGCCACCCACACCCAGCATACATATGCACACACAAGCAGAACAGTTTTGTCAGTGTTTACAAAAACGACCAGCTACTGCAGAGGAACTGCAAGTCATCAGATTTACAGCTGCAGTGAGCTGCAGAGTCCAGGCCCCACTGTCTGTCCTGCACCTGCCTGGACTGCTGCTGCTGCCGCCTGCTTGGCACTCCTGCCAGCCTCAGTCTAAATATAGATGTCCCCGCCACCCCCAATCTGCACTTTACCAGTGAGGGCTCCTTGTTTTTCAGATTCATCATGACTTTATACAAAACTGGCAGGACACATTCTGACTGAGTGTCACTCAAATTAACATTCACTCTACAACACCTTTCAGGCCACACACTCTCCCAAGGGACAGCCCTATCAAGATGCTGCCTACTTCACAAAATACAGTGGACAAAATGAAGAAATACTGTGGCCATTTCAAAATTACAGCATGTGTGCTATTGGACATTGAACTTGTACTCTGATAGACTTAGAGCAAAGCCCAAAGCCTACTGATAATGAACTTACCACTAAGTCCCAGTTATTAAGCTCTAACAGAGTGATAGCTTCAGCAATGTTGTCAATTCCAGTGCAAGCCTGTGAGAGGGGAAAAAAAAACATAAAAAGGATTACAAGAGAAAAATGCATTGTATGAGATTCAGATGCAGTTTGTTAGATTAAACACTGGGAGCTGCCTGTATTTAAAAATACAGAGAAAAAGAACTAACTATGCTACCTCCCATAACTACAATGAAGTGGTGGCAGCATAAAGGGTCACAGCCCCTCAGCGATGTCTTGATCAAAAGAAGGACGCTAATTTTTCAAGTTTTCACCTGCAGGGAGTTGTACTGTGTACAATCTGATAGCACAAATTTCTGCAATGCAATCTAAGTAAAGTATGTTCTTCTTAGTATAAATTCTGTAAAGATTCTTAACACAATGCTGCAAAGTGGATCAAGACACACCAACTACAATTTAATAACACATTAATGTCTCTGCAGCCTTCCTGAAGTGTAACATAAGGCAGGCAATGCAAAGCCAAAGGCATCCTGGTCTTTTTTGAGTAGATCTCTCTATTAGTATGACTGACGCAATCTCAGGTAGCAAATCACTCAGAGTGGCACACAATCAATATAATAAATTGGAGCTTTGACACCAGTAGTGTTGAAAAGAGGTTATCCATATGCATGCAAAAAGGCCCAGAGCCAGATATACAGTACCTTTAGAAAAACTGCTTAAAATGTTTGCATAGCAGTTCAGTGCCCCCTACTATGTGGTTCCAACCTTGTGGAAAGACTATGTATCTGTGTCAAAGAAAATATCTAAACAGGTGAATGGTCTTAAAATACTCCCAGAATCCCTTAAGATGCTGGGCAAAGGTCCCAATAAGATATGAAGTTTTGCTAGGGGGCAGATAAATACATTCATGATGCAACTGTCCTATTTAACCATATTTACATTTTGATTTCAGAGAAAAGCTATTAAATCATTAAATATGGTCCAAATATTATTGGCTGTGTATAGTTTACAAAAAATAATAAATGGCATTTTTAGGCACTTGCTTCTGTGTGTGTGTGTGTGTGTGTGTGTGTGTGTGTGTGTGTGTGTGTGTATTTATTTTTGTGGTAACATATATAATACTGCATTTCAAGTTTATGCAGATGATACAATTATCTATTGTTCATCCCCCTCAGTAGTACAGACATTTGAATTCCTACAATCGGCCTTCATTGTTGTCCAGTATCATTTAGCTCAACTCAAGTTGGTGTTAAATGCTGATAAATCCAAATTTGTTATTTTTGCCTTTATTGAATTATGGTGATCTGTTTGTTTTATGAATACACCAAACAAATAAATACCTTAAGAACTTGGATACTGTATATCATTGTGCTTTACACTTCAATATGGGTTATGAAAATCTTGTACAATATGGCCTACCCTCGCACAGTATTTTACAGATGTTGGCCCCTAGAATTAGAATTACACTTGGCAAAAAGCTTTTAAATATGCTGCACCTTCTTCTTGGAATAATGTGTAGAAGGACCTGAAACTATCAGAACCAACACAACCTTTATTTAATGCAAATACTAACCGTAGATAGTAAAATCATTATGTTTTATAAGCCTAATGAAGTGGCGTTCTTGCTGTCTTTAATTTGTCTGTTATGAACTTTACAACCAATTTCTTATAAAACTGAGTAAAAACATATGGTATAATACTTACGGTATAAATACTTGGCAAACAATGTCATATTCTTGCCACCTTTGAGTGTTTCTCAGATCCACAAACATTCTGTCCAGTTGAAATCGACCTCTTAAAAAAAACTTGTTTTAAAGTGATGAGGGCTTATGCTGTATCACAAAAAAGAACCACCTCCTACTATGCTTCTAAACACACAGTGATAAATATATACAATACATATAGCATATTGTTTATACAAATACATGCAACTTAGCCTACATATAAAACAGGAGTATATTAGTGAAATGAACTGGTAGATTCAAAACATAGGGCTACGATAATAAACCCATGAGAAGGTCACAAGCAAAAAAAGAATTACAGTTAATTTACTAAGTGTAACTTCAGGGGAAGGTCGTATATTTTTAGTACCGAGTTTAATACATATGGTAGGCAACTATACAGGACGCTAAATTACTACCCATTTGGAAAAGAAGCATTTTTGGTATCCCATGTTTTCTCAACATCAGAATACACGTCCCTTCCTACAAGCTGAACTAAATCTTGTCCTTCGACGGACAATTTCTGATGATTAGTCAAGCTGACATAACTGGCAAGGTGTAAACAACTTTGCAGTTAACATGAACGCCGTATTCTCATTTTAGCTAACTAGAACAGAGTTATCTATCAAGCACAAATTATTTCAGTGCTTAGACTGGCACCTTTGGACAACCGTGATCTGGTTAACAATTTTACAGCTAATAAGTGCCTTCAGTTAGCAAGCAGTGAGTTAGCTCAGCATGTTAGCTACAGAGAGCTCAGCTCAGGTATACTGTTTACGGCGGTTGTGTGAACTGTTGCTGTCAGCAGCCGAGAGTAATTCCACAAGAGAGACAGGTTACTAACTTCTGAGTACAATGCTTTGCATATGCAAAGGAGACCCACCTGAAAGTCGGCCAGAATCATTTCTCTATCCATGTTGCTATCGCCGCTTTCGGAGGCCATGGCAATGACTGGCTAAAAGCAATTCTTCTTCCACTGGCTCTCGTCGCTTTCTCGCCTCACGAGGGACACTGAAAATTAATAAAACACTTTGCTTAGAGGTGGCGACGGGTGGCAGGCTAGTATACCAGATATATTAAACTTGGAAGGGATTTAACAGCTCCGGAGAGACAAAATTTTGTAAAGTAACGTTACAGTATCCAGTTATCTCATATCATTATTGTCAGCTAGTCCATTTTACGGCTGACGTCAAGCGGCTGCAAGTGTCGTAAAATGTTTGAGTTGAGCCGGCCGGTAAAATAAGCCTTTGTCGTAGCTTACGTAAACACAGCTTTTAATTGATATTTGCTATTAAAATTCTAATATCTACTGTATTTAAAATTATGTAAGCCGGGACTTATACGACATGCTAATCTTGAAGACTCCAGATTTGTGATTCCATTTAGCTTTTATAAGTATCTGTTTTTATAACTGTTGGTGTAGATGTCAGAGAATTGTCTAATCAAAACAGTTATCCATAAATATTTACGTCATTGCACATTCTGCTACCTTCTGGTCCATTAAATTAAAATATTAGTCCAAATTTTGCCTGTTGGTCTTCTCGGTGATGCAGCAGGCCAAAAGACAGAGGACAGCCTGGATGGCATGATGAAAATACATAAACCTTGAGGGTGTAGTGCAAAGACCAAACATGTACCTGTTGCCCTAATTCCAAATTCTAGATCCCTCACTATCATTAGTGTCAGCTCTCTTGAAGATAGGGGCAAAAAGTAAATAAATTGTACTGCATAAACCTAAGGCTATTTGAGTCACATATAGTAGGTTCATATCACTAGCCTACCATTTCAATAAACACTTTACCCAGTTAGGGAAGAGAAGGCCAAGCCTAAGATTATGATGATGGACATCACACTTAAGGAAGAGAAGAAAGCATTGGGTGCAGGCCTATACCTGACAGTGGTTGCCAATCAGATGCAACACCATGGTGAGGACACACACAATAGGCTAACCTATAATTTGCAATGAATCAGTGTAAACGTTATGTCTTTTGGGAATTGATTTTTATCATTTAGAGTAAAATTTTAAGGCAGATATAATAATGAGCCCACATGGAATTCTGGCCACCCCCAGAATCTAATTGGCCATCCCTGGTGTCACCCAGCTAGAGGGGTGGGGGGAAGCACTGTGCAGTAGTCATGTCTCTGGCTGGTAGTAAATATGGAGTGCAGCCAAATTAACTGTAGTTTAAATGTAGTTGCCTTGTTGCCTTTTAAAGTGTCTTAGATTTTGTGTTACTTACTTGTGTTACATGCATAATTGCACAATGACTCTGCTGCCCATGCTGCTCCCATGCAGCATACATTCTGTTATATTCTTATTTTTGTTATTATATTGCTGCATCTGTTGCTGCTTAAAGTGCCTTAGATTTTGTGTTACTTATTTATGTACTTTATATTTCATTTGTATTTTGCATTCATGTGGATGGCAAAATAAGAATTTCATTGTACAGGGAAACACGTTTCCTAACTGTGCATATGACAAAATAAACACTTTGAACACTTTGATAAGGAAAGGCTTATTTTTGTGTGTCTTATTTTTACACACATAAACAGTTTAAATCTTAATAATGTATGGTTTATCATGTCCTAGAACTATGGATTTAATTTACTTTTTACATGTATTTCAAATGTGCCATTCTGCTCGGAGTTTGTGCCCCAGCCTGGCCACCCCGTCCAAAATATTCTAAATCCGCCCCTGGAGTCTGCATTGTACAGACCACAAAGGGCAGGGCCTAATGCGCTCAACTGCCTGATGATAGCCCAATTGAAAATACCAGTAGCAGCAATTCTGAATGCCTGTGGTGACACATTCCTGTCTGTTCTTGACTGGGCAAAACCCAGTTGCATGCCTGACACCGAAAAAGCACAAAACAAACTTTGTGTCTAAGTACAGCCACTACGGACCATGGATACCTTATCAACCTACTGGCACTACACCAGCGTACCAGTCATATGACGCGATTATAACTTATTATTATGCAGCTTAATAAAAGTCCGTACTTTTAATGTAGGCTATAAGGGGTCGTTCACATAAGTCACGTCATCTGTGTGCATGTCCTCATGGGCGCACCTGAACTCTTTCTAGGAATCTATTAGCCTATAGATTATTGCTGCACCAGACACTAAACAGGGAGTTGAGGCTGTATCAAGGCCCGTCACTAGAGGGCGGCATAAGGCTAGGAAACAAAGATGCTGCCTATAGTCGGTGAAACTATAAAAGCCTCTCTTATACACTTTCATTAAGCAGAACCCTGTGATTGGCTCTTATAAACCACGATGCGACTACAGGCTCTGGAATAAAATGCGGAGTAAATAAAAATAGGTAGAGTTATCACTGCACGGTGTGAACAGCATCATGGTTTCTTTTCCAAAGCTCCGTTAAGACAGTGTCCCGCCTATTATTTAGCTCTATCCAATCACGCCATCTCATCACTTTGGTAAGATTTTCAAATATTATTTACTTCGCAGGGCTAACATCCCGCTTGTTACAGCTCAGTCCACACAACGGACGAACCCTCCGTGATGTCAGTGAGGACATTACAGCAGGAGATATCCTTTGTTTGGACATTTAGCTCATGTCAGAGTTTGAAAGAAATTCAGCCGAGCATCGCTGTGTCATTGGTTCACGGGGGAACCCCGACATCGGTAGGAGTACGTTTCAAAATTAAATAAAGCTCACAGAGATGATGCGATCTCTGAGCACTCAGCGCTCCTATCTCAGGGGGATATCCTTTGAACGCGACACCGTAACGAATACAAAACACAGAAACGCACCTTTTATATTTTTAAGCAAGTTATTTTGAAAATGAGCGGGAAGTGACATCACATTTTTTGACGAGATGCGTACACGCAACTCAATTTCTTTCATTTGTTTTTATAGGATATTTCTATTGCTTTAATGTTTGTGTTGCTTTTCCAGCGTTCGACTCGGTAGGAAAAAAGGATGGTAGGCTTCCTGTTCGCCTGCTACACGGAGGAAGGCTTGTGTTATGATGTTATTCTCATTTAGACTACGTTTTTGTTGTTTGTTTGCCCCGAAAAATCAAAACTCGTACAATTTTTAAGCTTATAAAGACACGCTATTTTTGCATAGCCTAAGTATAGAAAAATGCCAGGTCTATTGTAAATACGTAGGCTGTTGCTTATGGGTCTCCTGGGCCTCCTGTAAATAAACACACTAGCTGAAGATCAGATCGCAGGTCAGTCAGAGCTGCAAGATAGTGCTCTAACAACACGTGGCAAAATAAGTGTCGTTTTTCTAACCTGCTGTGTCACAAAGAGAATAAAAAACGAGCATGCCAGTTTTACAGGGGTAATAGAATATGGTGTAGCCTATCTGGACTGAAACGTGCAGTCTGTTGCAGCTCAAGTAGGAAGTCTTACAATAACTGGCTACTTACAATAACTGGACACCTTTTTTTGAAACTGTGCAGAATATAGAATTAGATAGCAAGTAAGAACTAAAATCACTGTGATAAAAGTAGAATATGAGCTGTGAAAGGGAAAGGGTAGCAGGTAAACACTGGCATTTATTTGTGTATTTATAAATCCAACTCTGTTTACCTATTATAGGCTACTGTAAAACAAGTAGCCACATCTCCATATTCTTGCAGATATAAACATCAACAATATTTATAGGCTAATTTAATGCATTTAAAAAGATACTGATCCTTCTGTTTTTTTACAGTACTGTGTAAGTCAAGCCCATGTGTGATGTAGGGTGGGATGGGAGGTGCCTGTGAAATATATTTATCATCCACGTCTTGGATTATTGGCTATTTCCACAGCCTGACCAAAAACCTTGACTCTTACCCGTTTTATTTTTTACAAGAATGGCTGATACGGAATTGCTTTGCAATGCCTCTGCCACTGGAAACTTAACCAAGGTGTTGTCTTTGTTGCAAAATGGAGCAGAGGTCAATGGATGTAATATCTACAACAGAACTGCACTACAGGTTAGTGTAAGCCTCCTTCAGATGTGTTTGTGGTAGAGTGAATTTAGTGCAAATGTATTTGTTTGTGCAGTGAACATTGTAGACTTTAGTGTGCAAGTAGCCTGTTTGACTTCCTTAGCTTATTGTTGTGCTGCAAAGGATGAAAGGCCTAGTCACATTTTATCCTTAACTCTCTACTAGGCTTTGTTCATCATTAGATCCATGTTAAATATATATCAGTATCTTTGAGACTAATAGTTTGCAAGTGAAAAAACTCTGTGGGTAGATGGCAAAGAGATGTTTACATGTCAAAGAGAGGTTTAGACCAGGTGGAATGTCTGATGAATTCCAGGTCATAGCTGACCCGAAGTGTTTTAAAATTCATAGTTTTGCTGTAGCTCATTCTTTTTTAATTATACACACACGCACACACATATACACACATTTATATTGTATATGAATAAGTGCATTTACATGGATAAATCAAGATATTCATTTCTGTTTCACAATTAAATGTAGTTCCAGCATAGACTTTGCAGTTCATCTTGAGAAGGTTATTCAAATATAATAATAATACCAATTTTAGTATTATGTATTTTATGTTACATTGCAAATAAAATTTGAGGGGCAGTAGTGGAATAACAAAATGGTGGCAATGAGGAAATGGTGGCTGAGGCCCTGTCATTATTACAGGCACAAAAAAAACAAACAACACACATACACATAACTATTACTACTACTACTATTAGTATTACTACTACCTGTAGTAATAATAATGTTATCACTGCAGTGGAGTCATGTTAGCCTCTGATTTATAAAGCACATGCTAGAAAGTTACATCATCCCTTGTTTTTTTTTCTTTTTTTGCAAAAAAAATAGCAAGGTAACAAGACAAGTCACTGAACATGGAAACAGGACATTTATAGAAGAATGCAGGGCAATTTTACCAGTGGTTTGTGTGTGGATGTGTTCAGCTTTCTGTGGAGTGCAGTATTTAAAAAAAGGGTGGGGGGTGGGGGGTGGGGGGTATAGATTAAAAATGATAGTAATGGAAAAATGTCAACAATAAATAAGTGAAAAAGGAGGAGAAGATAAAAGGAGTGTGGTGGGGAGTTACATTCAAATCTTAATGGTAATGAATACTTTGATCATAAAAGTGAATGCAGTCTTAGCATAATATTATCAGCTTGTTACATTTCTATATTTTTACATTTTGGGGGGTTTGTGGGAATGTGGCTTCAATTCCAGGTGTTTGAATTGATCTGAGATGCAGAACGAGTTACAAATGTGGCTGAAGGCTGATGTGATGATTTGGTGGGTGGATGTTATTTCCTCTAATGTGATGTATTCTGTGCAACGGTTTATCCACTGATTAATATGTAATGATCACGTTTAGAAAGATTGTTTTCTTGGCAATGGTTAGAGAAATTAGGATTGGCTTTCTGTAATTAGTTGGTAGGTGCCGACTTCTGTAATCTTACCGAGCAAACAGAGCGATGGATTCTACGGCTCAGGAGTTTTTGTCACCGCTACCAAGAGGGAGCGAACTGGCTGGCAGGCTCTTTTCTCCTTTTAATTATAGCCCTGCCATGTGCATATCACTTGCCTAACATCATAGTAGCCTATCATTTTGCACATATGCAAACCTTTTATATATACACATAACGAGGAGCAGTCCAGTCTTATGTTCATAGGCCCTACTGCATTTTATTAACCTGATTCTGAGGCGTAGTCTATATGATATCTAATATATGTACTGGAGTAAAATGAACAACATTTGCCCCTAAAATTTAGTGAAATCTACCCTAGCAGAAAACGAAATAATCTAGTAAAGTAGGCCTATAGCCTACTTTCCAACACTGGTTGTTACACTCAAAAGAGGTAGCCTAAATATTTTTTCGTTCTTGTCGCCTTCTTTCTTTGTGCAGGTGGTTAAGTTGGGCCACACCGACGTGGTTGAGGCTCTTCTTGAGGCTGGAGCTGACCCTAATCTGCGTGACCCGGTCTTGAGTCTCACCGTGGTCCACGACGCCGCGCGTGAAGGTTTTGTGGACACTGCGTGCGTGCTGATGCAGCACGGGGCAAACGTTAACCTGGTGGATGAACAGGGTAACCTGCCGCTGCACCTGGCCGCTAGAGAGGGCCATCTGGAGGTGGTCCGGCTGCTGATTGGACGCACCGCTGACCCCCGACTGGCCAACAGCCTGGGATACACAGCCGGGCAGCTGGCGCACCAGCACGGGAGGATGGGCACAGCAGCATACATCGACCACTATCTGAACTTCTGTGAGTGTTTGTAATGATTACGTTTTTTCCTGCTCATGAAGTCTTACTCATAACGAAAGATTCTTTTTACTCATTCAAGAAAACCGCAATGGCATCTTCCAAAAGTGCTAAATTGGGGCGGTACACTAACAACATAGTATGTAGTGTGGACATGCTTTACAGATGCTCAGAGGAACCCTGTATAACGTTTCGCCCATAAAATTCGACGAATAAGCGATGTAACCTAAATGTTATCCCACCAGAACAAAAAGATGCAAATGAGAACAACTAGTGACTAGAATGTGGTTACTCAAGTACTGTACGATTTTGAGGTAGCCTACCTACAGTACTTGTAGACTTTACAGAAAGAAATATTGTACATTTTGTTGTATTTTTGGAAACGTATTACTTCTCAGAGCCATATAAATATAGCCTGTATGGTGGGAAGGCATACATAATTTAGGCCTATACTTCAAATTATAAGTGTACATAAAATTAGCTCCACCTTTACCAACTGCAACATTGAAGTGATGAACACAATGCATAATTGGGCTACAATAAATTAATAGGCCTATAATAAACATTCTGCGCTGGATTGGCGACCTGTCCAGGGTGTACCCCGCCTTCGCCCGATTGCCGGCCGGGATTGGCTCCGGCCCCACCCGTGACCCCGTTCAGGGATTAAGCGGTAGAAACTGAACGAATGAATGAATTATAAACATTATTCGATGCCAGTGCTTACTTACACAAAGAAACCAAATACTTCATCCACAGGGTTAAAGGCAGTAGAGCTGCTGATATTAGCCCCTGATTTTGCATTTTGACTTTTGAAAGAGGGAAGAACCATAGTTTGTGTTGATAGCCCATAGGGTGAAGTCAGATATAATGGGACATCAGGTAATGTGGGACAGCAAACAGTACTGTAGCTACTTCTGCCTTGAAAAGTGTAAGTTACAACAGTTGGTGCAGAGAGCTTCCTGTGGAAACATGACCAAATCACACGACATAACTCCTGCCACGTGATGTGGGAGGGTGTAGTCAGTATCAAATAGGATGTTGAACCCAAAAAGCAATAGAAATGAAATTGGCCTATGCTTCATCTTGAGTTTAATATAAGGGTATAACATTTGAATGACCAATATACTGCACATCTAAATGATATAGATTTGTATGATGTAATGTTGCACCAAAATAAACGTTTTGAATTTAACATTTTTTTAAATTAGGGTATTTTTGACGGCAGGTTTCAGGGTAAATTGGGACAATGTTAGAAGGCTGCTGAAATGAAGTGGAGCACCAGTTTATTTATATGACCTGATTGGGATTAAAAAGGGACCTCCCATCTATCACATAGATATTTAAAGACCTTTGGATTATTTATAAATCGATTTCATATTTATGATCTTCCAAACTGTGCACACCTTATAGCCTAATTTGGTCAAGTGAGCTTATGCCGATAATTCCGACCATGCTGAACAATAAGGCAAAATGTTTATTAGTCTGGGCTGAGTGTGCAAGTAGTGGCACAGCAAGGAATGCAGTTCTATAAAAGCAGCAAAATAGAATTGACTTTGTTTAATCCACTATTGCTGAACAACCAGGAAACGGTCCGTGCGCTTGAAGACCAGTGGATTTTCGTTTTGCAATAAGAAAACCAATATCAGGAAGTTAACCGTTTCCAATTTGCCATTCAGAGTGTGGGACACAAACACACACAAAAAGCTGTTTGATAAACCACGGGAAACGAAACAAACGGGCAGTTATCCAATTTTGTCAGACATGTTTATAAATGGAGATCGCCATTTAAAGTAGATTAGGTGCGTTTAATTTCATATCTGTGCGTCTCTGTTGGACCGAACCCATTGATGTGATTAAACAGCTTCCACGCCCTGAGCAGGAAAGCGTGTCCATCAGGGGGCCACGCTGGCTGCATTTCACAAATGTCTTCCCATGGGGATGATCAGAGATGTGGCCGTGTTTATTTTCGCTACTGAACGCAACCAGCGCAATACAACCAGAGAATAACGAGTCATTGCTTTATTTTGGTTATCTTCATTCTCTGGAACTGAAGAAGGACGCAAACGCAATATAGAATTACAAAAACGGTCTCAATATAGCTGAAGTCATGTTCAACGAAACGAACAGGATCTTATTTAGGTCTTTAAAGCTCAATGCCGTGGCCACGCAATAGCCCAAAAGCCAGTTGTATCTGCATTAGTAGTTACGGACCTGGCAAAGTTAGATTAAAATCGGTATTCAGCTGAAGAAAATAGGCCAACATCGTGCAGGCCTTTAACAGAGAGCAGTAATAACCCTGGTAGGTCTATAGTCGTTATGATTTATCCCGAAGCGGAATGTAGACCTACTGTCCGAGTTATGTCTCCGATCTTAGGCCCAGTGCATGTGTGACTGGGCCAATACACAGGCCTGGATACCCAGACACAAATTAATACGTTTTAGTACATCCAATCCCAAAGAATATTGTCCCTCCTGAATGAAGGTCAATTTCATACAAACCCTACAATAACTGAGTTCCCACACTCTCAAATAAGTTTGCAAAAACACAGAGACACTTGTTTTATTCACAAGAATTAGGTTTTATTTTAGCCAATGTATAATTTAGTGACAGTGAATCAATGCTTACAAAAAAACGTAGCACCAAGGCTAAAATACCACTTTTGGAGACTACCTATGCACCCACTGTTAAAATAAGTATAGTACAATTCTCTCCCACAGGTTTAAACAGGAATAAAATGGTCAAGGTCAGACTAGGGCCGACCTGTTCGATAAACACCACAAATATCAATTCATCACAGTCAGAAACAAAAATAAAAACAAAACAAAAAATACCATAACCAAAATTAAGAGGATTGTCCCTCCCTGTACATCAAACCATTCACATACTGCTGATGCACCATAGAATTGGCCCAACCCTAGCTACATGAGCAGTACAGTAAATGAGAGAAATTTAAATAGGCTTCTTGATATAAGAGACACACTGGGCAAAGCAGCAGTGGCCATTACTCCTACAAAGTGTAAAACCACATTCAATAAAAACTAAAAAAATTCAAAACAAAAGCTGCTCAAAAGTACCCTGGTTGTGTCTCGCACTGTGGCGCCTTGGCACCACATGTGCAACAGATGCCAACTCCTGCAGAATAGCGCTCCAATCAGTTGTCACCCATGGAGAAGCATGCAGTAAACCCCTGAACAATCTATAAAGGTATTAACTGAATAAACATTTTGTGCAGCAACAAATCTAACATGCAATGAATTCACAAAACATACCTCAGAGGAAAGTAGGACACAGGTCAACAACAAGGAGAGGAAGCTCAGACTTCACTCTGGTATATTCACTAATAATTGTCCAGAGCAGCAGCGTCCCATGGTTTGGCATTCATGTCCGTGATTAACATACAGATTGCTCACATGGCGATATAGTCATGACAACCCACCTGTTACACACACACACACACAATTTTCTATTGGCGACCTGCCAACTTCAGGGCTTCAGTGCAGGAAGGGAGAGGCCATCTGGGCCTGCTGATAAATGTCCTGGGCTTCTGCTGGGCTCAGGCAGGTCTCCATGGGCTGAGACTCAGGGGCAGGCTGGTGTCGACCCCTCCTCCTGCAGCACTTCTTCCTGAGCCCTCCAGGGCAGAGAACTAACCGGGATCCCAAATTGAAAAAAAAGATTTGTTAGATTTACTTGATTGTAATGTGTACATCGGTCCCACACAATGATAATGTGTAAAACCAACATAAGTTTCTTTATGTTAACAGAGGAAATATGAATGAATTGCATTGCATATACTAGCATAATTTGTGTAAATCCAAAGACCCAGTGTTTCCTTTTTTTCAGTGCAGGAAGGGTGAGGGCTTGGGGGCAGAAGCAGGGGAACCCAGGTTAAGCTCAGCATATGGGATAAGGGAGTACACCCCCAGCCTGATGGAGGAGTTGAGGTCCTTTGGGCAGGTGGCACTGGATCTATTCATATTCCACGGGTCATGTGGTTGCAGGTTGTCCCAGGGTGAGCCGTCTGACCAGCAGGAGTCCAAAACAGCCCCCTCCTCCTCTTGTAACTCCATCACCTGGAGTAGCATGTTATCAGTCTCCGGGAGGTCTCCGGATCAGTGCCACCATGTGAGCACAGAGCCGTAAACGCTCCACAGGATGCTGGTGGGTGTCAGGCTGGTAGCAGAGACACTAACTTCTTGCCACAACTCAGAAACTTCATCGGGTGTCTCCGCGGGGTCCATGTTTGGCTGGTTCATTCTGTTATGATGGGTGTGCGGTGTGGACCCCAGATGCAGACTCAAAAACTATAGGAGCAGGAACTATAGAAAGCAGTTTTTAAATAATTAACAGGTATGCTGAGTGGCAGGAAGTTTAGCAGGCTCAGGTGCAGCAGGCAACAGAGGACAAGTAAGGCGAGGAACCAGGAGGACAGGCAGATGAGCTGGCAGCAGGTGAGGCATCAGGAAGAACGAAGGAACCAGAGGACGGGCAAGTGTCAAGCAGCAGGCAGTCAGGTCAATACAGGACAGTCAGGTAAGCAGAGTTATAGTCGCCATCAGGTAAGCAGAGTAAGCAACAAAATAGTAAACCAACCGGAAAAACATAGGATCACATGGGGGGGGGGGCTCAGAAGAGAAATCCGGTAGAAACGGCAGGAGCTGGGCGAAGATCAGGGTGTGCACGTTAGGACCTGTAATCATCAGTCTCCGTCTTCCTCGCTGGCTGAGTTCATGGTGGCCAGATTATAATGTCACGAACAGCGTGTAAAGCTGCTGATAATGTCGATGGTGAACTCAATTATAAGGCCAGATGAGCATAAGCAGAACACTGTCACTTTAATCAGAGCACTGGTCTGAAACACACGATAAAACAATCAGGAGTTTGATTCAATATGTAACACTCTCAGGTCGATAATCCAGTCCAGGGTCAGAGCCAGCAAACTCACACATCCAAGGTATCCACGAGAAGAACAGTCAGTAGGGGAAGTCCATAAGTCAATGCACAGAATATAAACAGAATCAGAAGGGTTACACAGTATTTGGTGGTCACAAGGCAATCTGGGGTCAGAGCTTGAATAACAGGCACCAGAAAAAAAACCGCTGGAAAGTCTGAACATGGGTTAGAACAATCTGGCAGCTTCTTGGTGAGAGGAACCTGCCTATAAAGAGATGAAAACAGGTGCAAACAATTGTCACTGATTAGTGTAAAGAGTCTGCAGCTGAAATGACACCGTGACAGGAAGTGGTGTCAAAATAAGAGCATGATAATGGAAGCAGAGGGTACAGAATCATGACACCTGCCAAACATGCGCTAAATCATGTAGAGTACTGTACTGAATACATCACTCCACCTAGCTCAGGCACACCCACTTGGTAAACTGTAGGACCCCAGACATCTTGGATCTACTTGCAGCCCTGAACAGACTGACCCTGCAAGTACAAACCCGATTCCAAAAAAGTTGGGACACTGTAAAAATGTGAATAAAAAGAGAATGCAATGATGTGGAAGTTTCAAATTTCAATATTTTATTCAGAATACAACATAGATGACACATCAGATGTTCAAACTGAGAAAATGCATAATTTTAAGGGAAAAATAAGGTGATTTTAAATTTCATGGCATCAACACGTCTCAAAAAAGTTGGGACAAGGCCATGTTCACCACTGTGTGGAATCCCCTCTTCTTTTTATCACAATCTGCAAACTTCTGGGGACTGAGGAGACAAGTTGCTCAAGTTTAGGAATAGGAATGTTGTCCCATTCTTGTCTAATACAGGCTTCCAGTTGCTCAACTGTCTTAGGTCTTCTTTGTCGCATCTTCCTCTTTATGATGCGCCAAATGTTTTCTATGGGTGACAGATCTGGACTGCAGGCTGGCCATTTCAGTACCCGGATCCTTCTTCTACGCAGCCATGATGTTGTAATTGATGCAGTATGTGGTCTGGCATTGTCCTGTTGGAAGATGCAAAGTCTTCCCTGAAAGAGACGACATCTGGATGGGAGCATATGTTGTTCTAGAACTTGGACATACCTTTCATCATTGATGGTGCCTTTCCAGATGTGTAAGCTGCCCATGCCACACGCACTCATGCAACCCCATACCATCAGAGATGCAGGCTTCTGAACCGAGCGCTGATAACAACTTGGGTTGTCCTTGTCCTCTTTAGTCCGGATGACATGGCGTCCCAGTTTTCCAAAAAGAACTTCAAATCTCGATTCGTCTGACCACAGAACAGTTTTCCACTTTGCCACAGTCCATTTTAAATGAGCCTTGGCCCAGAGAAAACGCCCGTGCTTCTGGATCATGTTTAGATATGGCTTCTTTTTCGACCTATAGAGTTTTAGCC